ACACCCCGGCCGCGGGGCTGGCTTTGTGCGCGGGTCACCTGGGCGACGCTCCTGTCCCAATAAAGGCCCCTTTCACCTCCAGCCGGGCACTTGGCTCCCGGCGGAGCCTCGTCTCCAGCAGCTCAGCGAATCCTTGGGGTTTATTATTTTTCCTGAATAAAAGCAAGGTTCTGTTCCAGCCTCAGATGGAAAAGATTAGGGAAGCGGGAGGAGGGATTGGGGCACCGAGCTCTGACCTCCTCCTCTTTTTGGCGACAGGTTTTTAGTAACAATATCCTCTTTTCACTTTGAATCCAGCCGGCAGCGAGGCCCCTCTGCGTCACGCTGTCACCTCTGTCCCCTCCCAGCAGCCAGGCCCAGCCTGTCCACCAAAGCCACCACAGCTGGATGGAGGGGGACTCTCATTTTGGGGCTATGATGTCCCAAAACTCAGATTTCTCCTCTTTTATTTGTGTTTTACCCCTCCTCTGACCCCCGCAGGTCCCCGACCTTCGCAGGTGGCCTCTTTGCCATCTCCAGGTCCTACTTTGAGCACATCGGCTCCTACGACGACCAGATGGAGATTTGGGGGGGTGAGAACGTGGAAATGTCCTTCAGGGTAAGGACAGGGTGTCACCTTCCAAGGGCACCTCCAGGGAGCTCCCTGTTGGGGGGCCTGGGGGCTGGACCCCCCCACCTCAGGTGTGGCTTCCCCGCAGGTGTGGCAGTGCGGGGGACAGGTGGAGATCATCCCCTGCTCCGTCGTGGGCCACGTGTTCCGCTCCAAGAGCCCCCACACCTTCCCCAAGGGCACGCAGGTGATCTCCCGGAACCAGGTGCGCCTGGCCGAGGTCTGGATGGACGACTACAAGGAGATCTTCTACCGCCGCAACCAGCAAGCTGCTCAGATGGCCAGAGAGGTACTGGGCACGCTGGGGGGCTGCTGCTCCTGCTGGGAGGGCTGGTCCTGCTGGGAGATCCACCTGAGCAGTGGGAAGGGCAGGGAGACCAGACAGGCAGACAGAAATAGCCAAAAGCTTTTTTTTTTCTCTCCCCCTCTGGCCAGAATGTTTCCTAGTAGGAAAACATCGGGGTTTATGAAGTCCTTTTATTTTTTTTAATAATTTTTTTTTCAACACCAGTATCATAAAGCAGGGAGCCCCCGATGTAATGAGTAATTGGTATCTGACTCTATTGATTCAGAAGGCTGAACAATTGCTTTATTGAAACTATATTACATTACAGTATACTATAATATATTAAAGAGATACTATACTGTACAAAAGATACATACTAAAGAAAATCTCGTGACTGTCTGAGACAGCCAGGACACAGCTTTGAGTGTTTGGCTAAGGAATCAAAGCAGTCCTCAGTAGAATCCAACTGACAAATCACTTCAGGTAAACAATCCTCCTTTTGCATATTCCACACGTGCAAAACAAAAGGAGCGGCAAGTAGAGATAAAAATTGTTTTCTCTTCTTTTCTCTGTGCTTCTCCAGGAAAAAACCTGGGAGAGAGAATTAGGTCTCTCTGTTCAGAGAATGTGAATGCCACACACCAAAACTTCTTATATGCTTTTCTTTTTTCAACACCAGAACTTCTTATTCTTCACCAAAGTATCTCCAAGCTCTTGGTGGAGCCTGTGGGTACCCGCCAGGTGACCCCCCAGCTTGTCACCACGAGGGATGATGACAAAGCTGGGGTGACTCCCAGCTCTGAGCCCCAACCTGGAAAGGGTTTTTTTGGGATTTTCCCTACTGTTTTCTGAAGTGAATTTAATTTTCGCCCATGACTTCGTCGATAGAAGACGTTTGGTGACATCACAGAGCGGCGCAGGCTGCGGGAGCGGCTGCACTGCAGGAACTTCACCTGGTACCTGCAGAACGTCTACCCCGAGATGTTCGTGCCCGACCTGACCCCGGTGTTCTACGGAGCAGTGAGTGCCGGGATGGCCGGAGCGGCCGGGGGCAGTGCCCGGAGGCTGGGTTTGGGGGCTTTGCACCAAACCGGGCAGGGGGAGCTGGTGCTGCCACCTCTGCCACCGTGTCTGTCACCGCTCACTGTGTCTGTCACCTCAGCTGTCACCGGCTGGCGGGGCCGGTTTGGGCTCCGGCGGAGCTGGAATCCGGCAGAGCTGGTTTGGGGCGAGTCCCCAGGGTGGGGAATCCGTGGGGATGTGGATTTGGGTTAAACTCGGGGGAAGAGCTGAAAACTTCCTTGAGCCCTATACACCGTCCTGGCACAGGGAGGGCTGGAAAAACTGAGCTGGGGATGGGATGGGGGGCTCCATCTCCATCCCGAGGGAATCTGGGGACGGGTGGGAGGCAGGAGCCCATCTTCAGGCACCCATCCACAGAGAAATGGGGACAGGCAGGATGTGGAGGGCTGGCTCCGTCCCTGAGGGAGATGGGGACAGCAGGACACGGAGCTCTGGCTGCATCCCCGAGGAACTGAGGGCAGGCAGGATGAGGGGCTCTAGCTCCATCCCTGAGGATGGGATCCCCCTGAACCCCTTCCCTCAAGCTGTGTTGGGTCCTGAGTCTGCCCCAGCTCAGCCAGGGCGATGTGACAGCACCCAGCCCAGTGACAGCAGAGTGCTGGGTGCTGGCTCCCATCCAGCTTTTAATTCACCTTTATTTCCTGAAACCTCAGCCCGAGTGCCTTTCCCTTTGCTCCGTGTGCCGGAGGCGACGGCTCGGGCGTTCCTCGTGTCCTGGAAAGGACACGGGACCCGGAGCCGGCGCTGAGTGCTGGGATGCTGTTTGCACAGCGATGACCCAGAGCCCTGCATGGCCAAACCCGAGCCGGTCCTACCCCGGCTCCTCTGAGCCCTTCTCTCCTCCACTCTCCCAGCCTTTTTCCTCACTCCTGCCCCTTTTTCCCCTACCCCGTCATTTTCCCTCCTCTTTTCCCCCTCTCCTCCACTCCTCACCCCAGTTCCCGTTGCCTTTCCCCGCCCTTTTCCCCCATCTCTTTTTCCCCCCTCTTTCCCTCTCCTTTCTTTCCCTCGTTTTTCTCCCCTCTCCTTTTCCCACCCCCACCTCTTTTCCCCTCCCAACTCCTCTCTTCCCCCCACGCCACAGATAAAAAACGAGGGCACCAAGAGCTGCCTGGACGTGGGGGAGAACAACCACGGTGGGAAACCTCTCATCATGTACCCCTGCCACGGGCTGGGGGGCAACCAGGTGGGCCCCCCAAACCACCCCCATCATTTCCCCCTCTACCGACCCCGGTTTTCCCCGGGGGTCAGCTCCCGGGGCGCGGCAGTGACGGCCCCCTTGGCTCTTCCCGCAGTACTTTGAGTACACGAGCCAGCGGGAGCTGCGCCACAACATCGGCAAGGAGCTGTGCCTGCGCGGGGACGCGGGCACGGCCGAGCTGGGCGAGTGCCAGTTCCGAGGGAAGCCCGGCCGGGTGCCCGCCAGCGAGGAGTGGGACCTGGCGCAGGTAAGGAGCCCTCTCCGTCCCGGGAATCTCTCCTGGGCACGGCGGCATCGTGCCCGCCACGGCGCTGCCCCTCCGGTGCTTTCCCCTCGGTAACATCCCGCGCTCTCCCCGCTCATGGATCGCTCGGTTGTTTCTCGGCAGACCCGGCTGATCAAGAACTTGGCCTCGGGGATGTGTCTGACTGCCCGGGGGAAGCACCCGGCCCTCGTTCCCTGCGACCTCACGGACCCGCACCAGCTCTGGTCCTTCACCTAAAAGGGAGCGGAGCCCCCGGCCGGCCCCGGCCACGCTCAGGAAACCAGGATCAAAAAAAAACTTCCTTGTTCGCTTTAATTTAAGTGAAAGCCTTAAATATGCTGCATTTCGTCGTTGCCTTGAACTGAATCCCGTGCCTTTGGAACCGGGCTCTGCCGGGGGCACCCCAGGGACCCCGAAACGCAGCGGTCGTGGAGAGAACGCTCCTGCCGCTGCTCCTCGGAAGCCGCTGCTCGTCCTCCCCATCCCGGCTCCAGCCAGAGACTCTTCAGTTCGTATCGGGCATTAAAAACGCGGATGCGCCTCCCCAGATGGGGAATCTGGGCGGGAAAACCCGGCGAGGAGGAGGATGGTGATCGTGGGGCTCCTCCTGTCGAGGGGGGATCGGGGCTTGCGGTGGTCCCTGGCGGGCAATGGGAGAAGTTGGGACCTGTGCCTTAGGAATCAAATTGGATTTGGAGGGGGGAGGAAATTAGATACATGGTTTCATTATTGTTATTATTAAATGATGATGATTCCTGGGTGCGATTCTCCTTGTGCTGGGCAGGAGGAGTTTTCCAAGGATGGCACCACAGAATTCTTCTTGAGCAGGATCCTGGGTGCCACATCTCCCCTGTTCCAGATTTTTTTGTCTATCCCAACTTCTGTAGCTGCCACTTGTGTTGCCATATCTTTTATAGTGGGGAAAAATCCCCCTGGACATGGCAGGAGGGGGAAGAACCTGTCCTAGACACTCAACCTCAAATAAAGAGATGATTTATTTTACACAAATCCTGTCTCCAGCCATTCTGTGCTTCCAAAACTCCTCTCACAGGATATCCTTTACTCTTCTTGTTCCAGAAACTCCCTATTTAGCCCAAAAATGAGTTTATAGCCCTTTGTGCCACAGCTGGGGTATCAGCTTTGCCTTGGGGTGTCCCCATGTGGGGTGGAGCCGTTGCCGCTGTCCCTTGATGCTGATAGAACAAACATGGGATTACCTGGAGATTGAGTTCCATGAAATATCGTGTTTTCCTTGGAGATAAGGGCAGAACTGCAGCAGGTGCTTTTTATTTCCGTCACTTTTTTTGACCTGGGTGACGCCAAGACCTCCATGATCCCAAATGCCAGTGCCTGTGCCTCGGGGGCCAATGTCCCCCCAGAACAACCTCCATTTGGAGTTCAAGGGGGGAAAAAATGAGAGAGTTTTGGCCAAAACGCCAGGGTTTCTTTCAAAGCCTATCGCTGCCCCATTCTGCCCCAAGCTCAGCCCCAGGGAGGCCGAGCCCCGGCCCTGCTCCAGCGCTGGCTGTGCCGGGGGCTTGGGGAGGGGCTGAAGGTCGAGCCCTGCTTGTGCCTCGATTTCCCCGTCCCGGTGCCAACGTGGCTCCACTCAGGTGCCGGATCAAGCCCTGGGAGCCATCCCACAAGCCGAGGCCGGGGAGAGCTGCAGCCAAGGCCTGCCGGGGCTGAGAGCAGGAGCCAGCGGTGACACGGCTGCGGGGCACGGGGACAGGAGGTGCCAGCGCAGGGCAGCGTCTCCCTGGGGTGCAGCGCCGAGGGGCGCTCGGGCTGTCCCTGGCGTGCCCGGGCGCCCTGTGTGCTTTGGCAGAGGGGCCAAGGCCGCTCGGCGGGGCCGCGGCAGCTGCTTCCCTTCCCGCGCCTCCTCCCGCGGCCCCGTTAAAGCGCCCGCGGGGCCGCCGCTCGCTCCCACCGCGGACACCGCTCCACGATGATGCTGCAGCTCGTGCTCCTCGCCGCGCTCGCCCTGTGCGGTGAGTCCCGCCCGGAGCCTTCGGCCCCGGCACCTCCCGAAAGCCCCCCCGAGCCACTCCACGCCCGGGGGGACTCACGCCGTCCCTCTGTCCCCAGGGCGCTGCTCCGAGCTGGATCTCGATGGCATGCAGCGGGTGGTCGGCGGCACCGAGGCGCGCTCGCACGCCTGGCCCTACCAGGTGGGTCCTGCCGGGGTCCCACGGCCGCTGCCGGGGCTCTCCCCGCGCCGGCAGCCCGCGCTCAGCCCCGGCCCGTGTCTCGCCCCCTGCCCAGATCTCCCTGCAGTATTACTCCGGGGGCAGCTGGCACCACACCTGCGGGGGCTCCCTCATCCACAGGAACTGGGTGATGACCGCCGCCCACTGCGTCAACAAGTGAGCGCGCCGGGGAGCCCTCCTTCCCCTCCACAGAGCTCCTTTCCCCCAAAAACCCTCCCAGGCAGAAACCCTGGCTGCCCCAAGCGCCAGAGCGGCCGCCCTCGGAGCGCTTTTGGGCTCCTCAGGCAGGGCCTCCACGGGGCTGCTCCGGCAGCGTCCGCTGTCCGCTCGGAGCCTCCCGGAGCAGCTCACGCTCGGCACGAGCGGGGCTCGGGGCTCACGGAGCGCTTCTGCACCTTGCCGGCAGTAACATGAACTACCGTGTGGTGGCCGGCGAGCACAACCTCAACACGAACGAGGGCAGCGAGCAGGTCTTCAGCGTCAGCAGGATCGTCGTGCACCCCTACTGGAACAGCAACAACGTGGCCGCGGGGTAACGCCCGCGGGAGGGGCACCTGGGGGGAGCCCGGTCGGCGTTTCGGGGAAGGGTCCTTGTAACCTCCTCTCCCTGCCGCCGGCAGCTACGACATCGCCCTGTTCCGCCTGAGCAGCCCCGCCACCCTGAACAGCGCCGTGCAGCTGGCCGTGCTGCCCCAGGAGGGCACCATCCTGCCCAACAACTACGCCTGCTACATCACGGGCTGGGGCCTGACCCGCAGTGAGTGACGGGCTCCCCCCGCCCCAAATTCCCCCGGCAGCCGCGGCAGCGCTCCGAGTCCTTGGCGGCCCCGGCAGGCTCCGCTCGGGGCTCCGCTCGGTGCTCCGCTCGGGGCTCCGCTCGGGGCCCGCAGGTGCCCAGCGCCGGCTGGGCCGTGCCGAGCCTTGGGGGGCCGGGCGGGCCCGCAGGGGCTCGGCGGGGGCCGCGGGCTCTGCTTTGGCCGGGCCCTTGCGGCGTGCGGCGGCTCCGCGGCGGCGCTGACCGGCGGCGGCTCCGCGCAGGCAACGGGCAGCTGTCCAGCGTCCTGCTCCAGGCCTACCTGCCCGTCGTGGACTACCAGATCTGCTCCAGCGCGTCCTACTGGGGCTCCACCGTCAAGAACACCATGGTGTGCGCCGGCGGCGACGGCGTGCGCTCCGGCTGCCAGGTCCGCCCGCGGCCCCCGCGCTGCCCCCGCCGCCCCCGCCGCGCCCCGCAGCCCCGGCTCACGCCGCTCCTCGCTCCGCAGGGCGATTCCGGCGGTCCCCTGCACTGCGCCGTCAACGGGCAGTACCAGGTGCACGGCGTCACCAGCTTCGTGTCCAGCCAGGGCTGCAACGTCGCCCGCAAGCCCACCGTGTTCACCCGCGTCTCCGCCTACATCTCCTGGATCAACAGCGTAAGGCGGCCGCGCCGCGCCGCGCCGGGCCGGGCCGGGCTCAGCCCCGGCGCTCTCGGGCCAGCCGAGAGCCGGCCCCGGCCCCGCGCGGCTCAGCCCGACCCTTTCTCCCTTCCAGGTCATCGCCCAGAACTGAGCCCGGCGGGACCAGCGCTCGCTGCCCCTCGCCCACGGCCGTCCCCTCACTCCCCCCGCCGCGCTCCGGGCTCCTCGCACCCGAGCCGGCCTCAATAAAATCTCTCCTCCCGTCTCTGTGCCTCCGTGCTGCCTTGACCCGCGCCCGCTCAGCCTTCATCCTCCGGCCCGCCATCCTCCTCCCGCGCCCAGCTCCCTCACCCGCCCTTCCCCGCCTCCTCCTCTTCCTCACTCCTCAGGGAAGAGCCCTGGGGAGCAGCAGCTGCCTCCAAGCTCTCGGGGCAGCCCCAACGTCTGTGGGATGCTGGAAAAGGGAGAAAAGCTGCAAATCCCCTTCCTGGCCCCCGAGGCAATCGCCCCTTGGCTATGCGGGGGCACACAGAGCATTTGGGGCCATCCCATCGCCATGTTCCCTGGCACTTGCTCCATTGCTCTTCCTCAAATTCCCTCCTTGGCCATGAGAGGTGTCAGATTCGGGCACTGCCACCTCCTCGTCCCTCAGCTGCGTCCTGGGGCTGTGCCACAGCCCCCCAGCCTGGGGACACTCCGCCAGCACCGACGTGCCCCAAACACCCAGGTTACACCCGAACAGACACTGCCGGCTGCATCCAGCGGCCGCTGGGAGTTCCTCTCACCCCTGGGTCGTGTCCTGCTGAACAAAACACCCACGTACCACAGGAGGGCTCTCCCAGCACTGGAGGGGCACAGGAGCAGTGGCTGTGCCTGGCACTGCTGAAGCCCCCGAGGGCTGGGCCCAGCTCTGCCCCTCCCAGCAAGAAAAACACCGGGGGCCTGGAGCATGTTCAGACAAGGGAGCAGAGCTGGGGAAGGGGCTGGAGCAGCTGAGGGAGCTGGAAAGGGGCTCAGCCTGGAGAAAAAGAGGCTCAGGGGGGCCCTTCTGGCTCTGCACAACTCCCTGACAGGAGGGTCAGCCAGGGGGGTCGGGCTGTGCTCCCAGGAACAGGGACAGGAGGGGAGGGAAGAGTCTCAATCTGTGCCAGGAGAGGATGTCAGACATTAGGACCCTCGGGTTTATCCCCTCACAGTCCAAGAGTGCAAGTTTTGCTCTTTTCCCCAAATCTTTGGCTCTTCCCGTCTCTCCAGTGTCCTCCCACCTGGCTGTGCTGCTGCTCTCCAAAGGTCAGCAAAGGGTCAGCAGCTCACGGCCTCTTGTACCACCCAGAGCTCAATCTTCACCTCACCCACAAATGAGCTGTTGCACCAGCTGCGTTCCTTGACACACCAAGAACAGAATTCCAGGATCCCTGAGGTGGGAAAAGCCCTCCCAGACGTCGAGTCAAAACTGTACCCAATCCCCACCTTATCACCAGCCCAGAGCCCTGGGAGCCACATCCAGTCCTTCCTTGGACACCTCCAGGGATGGGCACTCCAAACCTGCCTGGGCAGCCCCTGCCAATGGCCAACCACCCTGTCCATGTGTCTTAGGTTGCAAGATGTGTCTGGGAGTGTGTATTCAACTCCAGTCTCTCAGAGGTGGGGCAGTAATCTCCTATTAATTGGGCAGCTTTAGCTCTGCCACAATCAATCCACCTTCCAGGAGATATCTCCTGTTAATGGGCCATTAATTATTAATTACCTTCTCTTAATGGACCATTAATTATTAATTATCTTCTGTTCCTGGCCAGTGAGTGTCCCTGCATGGCTGATAAAATTCCATCATCCATTGGGAGATGCTCTGCCCAGGGGAGGAGCCAAACATTCCTACCTGGATAGAATCTGAGATTTCAAACATTCTTACCTGGACACAATCTGAGATTTCAAACATTCCTACCTGGATACAATCTGACCCTGGAACAGCCCAGCAGCCTTTTCCCACTGCATTCCCAGAGGAGCAGCTTTCTCCTGCCCTGCATTCCCAGAGGAACACCAGGCCCATCTCCAGCAGCCCTGGAGCTCCAGAGGAAAACTCCCCCCTTGTGCAGGATCCCTGCTCCAGCAGAAGCACAGCTGGCACTGCAGGAGGGCTGAGCCCCCATGGGATGGGACTGTGCCACCACCCTGACCCACAGGGGACAGGGCTGTTCTCACTCTGGCACGGTTCGTTTCTATTACTGCTTTTTTTAAAAAAAAAAAAAATCATAACGAAGAACTGCTATTGATAATGCAATAACTTTGGCTGAGAGCCCCTTAATTTCAAAATTAAAATAATTTGGAAGGATGAGGTTTATATTTTCCATTTCAGGGGAGGCTTCTGCCTTCCTTAGCAGACACCTGGCTTTTCAAACCAAGGCAGCATGAAGAAATTCCTCCTGATGTCTGACCTGACCCTCTCCTGGCATAGATTGAGACTCTTCCCTCCCCTCCTGTCCCTGTTCCTGGGAGCACAGCCCGACCCCCCTGGCTGACCCTCCTGTCAGGGAGTTGTGCAGAGCCAGAAGGGCCCCCCTGAGCCTCTTTTTCTCCAGGCTGAGCCCCTTTCCAGCTCCCTCAGCTGCTCCAGCCCCTTCCCCAGCTCTGCTCCCTTGTCTGAACATGCTCCAGGCCCCCGGTGTTTTTCTTGCTGGGAGGGGCAGAGCTGGGCCCAGCCCTCGGGGGCTTCAGCAGTGCCAGGCACAGCCACTGCTCCTGTGCCCCTCCAGTGCTGGGAGAGCCCTCCTGTGGTACGTGGGTGTTTTGTTCAGCAGGACACGACCCAGGGGTGAGAGGAACTCCCAGCGGCCGCTGGATGCAGCCGGCAGTGTCTGTTCGGGTGTAACCTGGGTGTTTGGGGCACGTCGGTGCTGGCGGAGTGTCCCCAGGCTGGGGGGCTGTGGCACAGCCCCAGGACGCAGCTGAGGGACGAGGAGGTGGCAGTGCCCGAATCTGACACCTCTCATGGCCAAGGAGGGAATTTGAGGAAGAGCAATGGAGCAAGTGCCAGGGAACATGGCGATGGGATGGCCCCAAATGCTCTGTGTGCCCCCGCATAGCCAAGGGGCGATTGCCTCGGGGGCCAGGAAGGGGATTTGCAGCTTTTCTCCCTTTTCCAGCATCCCACAGACGTTGGGGCTGCCCCGAGAGCTTGGAGGCAGCTGCTGCTCCCCAGGGCTCTTCCCTGAGGAGTGAGGAAGAGGAGGAGGCGGGGAAGGGCGGGTGAGGGAGCTGGGCGCGGGAGGAGGATGGCGGGCCGGAGGATGAAGGCTGAGCGGGCGCGGGTCAAGGCAGCACGGAGGCACAGAGACGGGAGGAGAGATTTTATTGAGGCCGGCTCGGGTGCGAGGAGCCCGGAGCGCGGCGGGGGGGAGTGAGGGGACGGCCGTGGGCGAGGGGCAGCGAGCGCTGGTCCCGCCGGGCTCAGTTCTGGGCGATGACCTGGAAGGGAGAAAGGGTCGGGCTGAGCCGCGCGGGGCCGGGGCCGGCTCTCGGCTGGCCCGAGAGCGCCGGGGCTGAGCCCGGCCCGGCCCGGC